CTTTGAGGTCCCTACCAACCCAAACCATTCTAGGATTCTATGATTTTATGATTTCTCACGTAGATAGCAAGAAAAAACGTCCTCCAAACTTTACCACAGGAAGTTCAGCACCCAGCATGGCATCCGACATTCAACATTGGGTGTCATTCTGCTGATAAAGACAAGTTAATTGCTAGCCTAAAAATCTGCTGCTGGCTAAGTACCCATGATCACGATGTGGTTATATTTACCCTGTGAGAACAGGATACAGCATCAGCCAATGATACATATGTTTGGAACTGTCAAAGGGATAATTTTCCCAAGTTTAAAGCAATTACCGGAATAACTGCCCGTGAATATCAAAGTGGGAAATATTAACAAAAAATGATAGTTGTAAAAGAACAACTTACTAGATGGCCAAAAAGCCATGAATCCACAAACATGAAATAAAAAATCATACTGGGCGAAAAGCCATGCTAGTTAAAAGCAGATGTGTTAGTGGCAACGAAACAAAGCCTAAAAATATCGATGTGAAAAATGGGAGTTAATGGCAATTGAATTTAATAGCAATGAACAGAAGTTTAACAACAAGAATACTGAGAAGGTAGCTAGCTGAAGAATGATCAGTGGTCAATCAGGGTGAAATCGGAAGACATTTTAAAACTCATTGGGGAAAACCAGAAAACTTAAGTCAGGCACAGGTCCTCTGCTAGAGACGTACAATGAAATTGCAAACAGTAAGTTTAAAAATTTATCAGAAGAGAGCTTTTCCCTCCCATCTAGTGTTGTAGATGACACAGAGGCGTGCCTGCTTGTACCTGGGAATGCCACGAGGCAACACCTGTTCAGACTATTTTTGAACCAGCAGCCTCAGACAATGTACAGACATGGGATTTTTTGATCTAAGAATCCAAAATGGCATCCAGTCTACAGTCTCTCTGAGCAACTAGTAAGAACATAAGAGCCTTGGAAAAGTGACAAATTCCAATGAAGGAATGCTAACACCGGACTTTGAAGATTTAGAACATGTGCAAAACATAACCTAAGCTAGTTCATATTAGGAAGAAATTCTTCCCTGTGAGGGCAGTGAGGCACTGGCCCAGGTTGCCCAGAGGGGCCACGGCTGCCCCCTCCCTGGCAGTGCTCAAGGCCAGGCTGGATGGGGCTGGGAGCAACTGGTTTGGTGGAAGGTGTCCCTGCCCAGGGCAGGGGGGTTGGAACTGGATGAGCTTTAAGGTCCCTTCCCACCCAAACCATTCTATGGTTCTACGAATAGCCATTTTTAAAACTACCAAAAAAACAGAAGTCACCTGTCTGATGGAAGACAGCGCTTGTCAAGGACACATATTGACTTTTTCTGACAGAATTACCGGTCTTTAGCTTTTCCCCCCCAAGACACCTGATTTATTACTGTGTGACACTGAGTGAGAAAATTTTCCACGGTACAGCACTAATGTGGCATGCATGAGCTGTTTTTAAGATCTCCCAGGGAGTTAGTTTTTAAAGCATTGCTGTTATCAGAGAGAGAGAGCAAGAACCAGACTTCTTTCTACCGTGTTTTCTTCTAGAATTTCTTTGTGGCTTAGCGGTATTCAATATTTCTAATCAATAATCTATTCAATACTGCTTCAGCAGTAACATGCAGATGACACAAGCAAGCAGAGCAGCACTACAGCTCACTCACAGCTGGTGTCCTGCCTGTTGGCTGCAGCTCCTGTTTTGGTCTATATTCTCTCGTAGTTGTTTTTTACATTACAAATTGGAAAGGTGGAGACTGTTTAGCTCCTGTGGACTGAACAAGCAGTGTCATCATTAACAATACTGCATGGCCGGTAGTTTAAAAGTCCTAATTACTAGAAACTAGAAGCCTTTCACAGGAAAAGCTAGAACATCATCTGCTATCACACACTGCTTCAATGGACGAAAATTTTTTCACAACTACAGGGGATTTTCTCATAAAACAGGAGAAGCTAAATAATTACAGAATAAAATCCTGGGCATCAATGGAGGTGCTTCAGATTCCACTGGAGTAACTAAGAACAGCAGAATTTAATCTGCTAGGAATTTGTGCAGACAAAGATGTCTTTGTTCCAGCTGAGACAGTCATAAGGAAGTAGGAACATCCTGCTGAGTGGCTCTGCCTACAGACAGAGACAGAGTCCAAAAGCCACAGATAGATGAATTTAGGAAACAAACCACCACCAGCACTTGGAATCACTGAGCACTCCAAGGTCATCACAACCAAAGCAGATCTCAACTGGAGTTCCATTTGAAGTATAAACTGGGAAAAAATCTGAAAGGTCATGACCTAATGCATCCCCAGGTTGTTAGGACTGCCATTCAGACCCCTTAACAACCTGCCAGGGCCAGGTTCTAACAGAAGTCTGCTCTACTTCCTCACTTCACCAAAGAAATACATTTTAATACAGAAAGGTCAATTACTTCTCCCTACAAGAAGGCACGGAATTCTTGCCATTAAAGGCCAGTTTCTGACAGCCTGGCTGATGGTGGGTAGCACATTCAGAACACCATTAATGCCACAGATTTCCTAGGGATTCATGAAATACACAACCCAGCAACGGGTGTACACACTCTGGTTTAAGTGAAGTCCCAACTGGAGTAAAAGTCACTATTTCCAAGACAATGCGTATCTATATTGCAATTTTACCAATTCCTGTAATTAGGGTGCATCTTCTGAAACTACCTCAAAGGTCAGGAGTGATGGGTACTGGAACAGCTATGACCTTAGTGCTGTGGTACCACACACGATTTCCCAGCAAAATCTCAGACCACCTTTAAGCGTCTTACCTGCTCAGCATGTATCTTCCCTCTCCTGGCAGTAGGGGTAATTACACACTTCTTTAAATCTTTCCAAATTGGTTTAATGATATCATAATATGTGACACTTTTGGGTACCAACATCATGAAAGAGTCAAAGGGACTTGCTCTTCACTAGCCTCAAGTCTACAGATAAAGAAACAGAGGAAGGAAATAACCCTTTCCCAATCCTCTTTGCTTTAGGAGGTTATGTGTTTTCCAGCAGTCCTATTCACTAAAAAGAGGAGGAAAATAAGCTTAACAGTGGGACTCCATCATGCCCTCGCTGTGGGTGTAGGTTTGATCAGTTACTCAGTGTTCTCCTCCCCATTTCTAACTACTTTGTCCTAGTCCAAAATCCAAACCTTTTTTTTATCTGGCTGTGTTACATTTAACACATTGCCCAATTACACCAGAGCTTGTAAATCAGTACAACATAAAATCAGTAGCAGCGGCCTAAAGGATTATTTCCTTTCTCACATCTGAAGAGTGCCCACTGTAGGGTTCTGTTTGGATGCCACAGCAGGTATAAAGAGGAGGCACCTAGACAAAATGTCAGTTTAAGGGAAGACCTTGAAGTATTTTTAAAGGAGATCAAACTCTGGAAGATGTCCCCTTTGCTGGATTTCACAAAAAGTTTTATGTTCTCTCTTAAATACTTTGCCTTGCTGTTAATGATCAGCGTGGTCCCAGGAGGCAGCTGCCCTGCGGATCTCAGACCGCAGCTCATTCTGAGGTGGCTAGGGCTTGGTTCACTAAACGTAGGGTCAGCACTAGAAGCAGACTGGAAGAAGTGGAGGAACTTAAAAGACCTGTTGTGCCTCTGGCAGCCTGAGCCATCGAGAAAGGAACAGCTCCCCAGGGTATTAGCTAGAGCTGTACCTTCAGCTTGAGATACAAATGTGCCTATCGGCCAAAAAATGGGTCTGGGAAAAAAGCTCAGCCAAAAGGCAGCAACAGCATAGATCCCTACTGCCACATCCATATGGGGTGCATGCTTCTGAAACAGCAGAGATGACAGAAACATTAGAAGGGAACATCTTCAAAACCAGACTGTCTGGTTGCCTGAGGTTTTGATGAAAGGAGGAGGGATGAGGAAAGGTTTGTGACTCCAATGCAACATGGAGAAGTGTTTCTCCTTTCTGACCAGCATCAATTAGGTCTTGCCTGGGTTTAACTGCCTTTAATCAAAAAATTAATTTCCTGTAGGCATTTTACTACTGTGCATAACAAAGATTTTGCTTAGAAATGGCAGGAATGGACTCTGCATGGCAAAAGTTGGCTCTGCAGGGCTACAATGAATTAACTGGCACAATAACTACATTTGTCCTTACAGTCAGTCCCGCGGTCTTAATTTAGATGAGCTCCCACTGAAGTCAGAAACTTTTGCCCCAGAACAAATGAGTAAAGCCCCTAGGACGTGGCCACATTTAACCAGAGTGCACAACCTGTTGTTAACTGGATCACGATAACTGCATTTTACTTACCTGTGAATATAACAGTGTTCAAGCTCGATTTCCCCCATAACTCCATGAAATGAACCACATCCCCAAATCTAAGAGAGGGATGTCCAGTGAACACCACACATGGCTGCTTGAAGTCATTGCTGAAGTCTCCGTGGATGCTGGGATAATGTTTCAATTTGTTTGTCTGAATGAGCTGAAAGAAAAACAAAAATCCAGACATTACAAACTTTTCATGCCTCTGTGCTCTGCAGCTCAGGGTGTTTATTTACATGAGATTATAAATATTCTACAGTTTACTTCTAATTCATCACAGAGTCCCTTCCTGCATATCCCCTAGATTTTCCAGCAGATTTAGTCATGACTGTCCTAAATGTTATGAAAAGGAAGTCAGAGCATGGGGCCAGGTGCCTCCAAGCCCTCGCTCTCATTTCTTCGGGACCAGCAGCACGGTAACCGAGAGGAGACTCTGCAAACACTCTCTGCTTAGAGTTTCCTGGAATGAACAGAGTGCTCAGCTGCCAAATTCAAAATAAGGTACATTTTCCTATTTGCCATGTCTACACAGAGCTCTGGGCACCGATGTTTAACCTGGTTTTCTTGCACCACAGCCGTACCAGGCGGTTTTGCCTTCAGCAGTATGTTGCTATGAATTTTATCGGTATAACGGGTTCACACAAAGTCAAGTCTTCTGAAAAAACGAATGAAAGAACCGACTGACTTGCCCTTCCTTCACTATCACTGACATAGTAATAACAACGAACTAAGAGCAGTAAGAAGCACTTGTCACTAAAGCTGGCAGAGCGCCACCAACTACGCACGTGGAACGGGTTTCTTTACTAAGATGGGGATGGTTATTTATCAAGGCACTTCTGGAAGAAGAATTTCGCTTTATTTCTCCTGCTGCTGTTTTCTAATCTGCAAAGCAAGGTTCAATTTACAAAGCAATTTAACAGACTAGTCTGCTAAGCGCTTTCATGCAATATTTTGCAAGTATCTTCTTGGCAGGTATACGCTTCCATCCCCAGCCTGAAAAGAACTGTAAATACAGTCTTCTTAAAAAGTATGCAATTTAACCTAATGGAATCGCACACACTGAACAAATAAGAACACACATGGAAATAAAAAGCATGGAAGAGGCGAATGGTACTTCCTCTGCCAGCCAGTTTTTAAAGGAGATGAGACTGTTCACCAAAGGTCTCTCCATACTTTGCTGTCTCCTGCCAGGCATTGCAACGTTGCTCGAAATACAGAATTGCCATATGCAGGGTTCAGCAACGTGTTTCTGCAGCTGTGGTGCCCTGGAACCCCAGAGGATAAGCCTAATTAGCAAACAGCACGCTCGTCACAACATGATGCGTGCATCGTGCCTCTTTAGCAGAAAACCCTGCCACTCAGGACATTCCTCTTCATGGTAACATTTCTGATTGTCAAAAGAGGAACTCAGAAAGAACATCACGACAACCAACTCTTTTGGTCTCTCAAAGCTGTAATTCATCTTCCCAGATTCTCTTTTGTGACTTTTTATCATGGTAGATCTAACTCAAGATAGCGTGCCTACGTGGAAATGAACAGAAAGCTGAGAATTCTGATGCTTCTTTAAGCCTCTTACGCACAAGAAAGCACTTCAGAACCTCAGGTTATTACACAATTAGGTTCTTAATTGAATGTAGCATCACTGAAGAAAAGTATCAACCCTACTCAACCTCTAGCTGTCACCACCTAAAGGTACACTCTGGTGCTAGAACAGACAATGTACAACCTTACCCTCAACGCCCTTTCAATTACAGAAAGCGGGCTGCACACAGGTGCCAATACTTAAATCTTTCTCCTTTGCTTCCTCGAGTTTGGTCTCCTTCAAGTTCCCAACAGCAAATATTTTTCTGCGATTCTGCATTTGACTTCGCACACGTCCTGTTTATAACTGCTGTGCAAGAGCTAGATGGCTGGAGTGGAATGGGATTGGGATGATTCCTTCTGGGGTTTGACCTAAGGTGGAAACCGTAGGTGGACACAGCCCGTTATTCCCACGTGGACCCTTGGATCATGGAGGAAGTCGCTAGGGGACTACACTTTTTGCAGCTTACTAGTCATACCAAACTTCTTTTTAATCTTCAAGGGGGAAATCTGAAAAAAACCATCCAATAACTGCTCTGGCAGTTAATATCCATTGAATCTGGAAACCATTTCTGCAATTAAGACTGGTAAAGATTTCTGATTAACACATCTGGAGTACAGTATTTAGAATCTAAACTTAGCTTCAGTAATAAAAGCTGCAGTTTAGCAGACAATGGGCAAACCAAACGTGATCCCATAAAATACTGGCATTTAAAAGAATGGGTAGGAAATGGCCCCATCAAGCTTTTCCCTGGTGTTTTTGAGGGAAGCCAAAAGCCTCGAAACTGAAGTTGCAAAAGCAGCTTCAACTGGGTAATCTGGAAGAAGGGAACAATGCCCACTTCAAATATTAAACAGGATATAGAATCATAGAATCATTCAGGTTGGAAAAGACCTTTAAGACTCTCTACTCCAACCGTTAACCCAGCACTGCCAAGTCCACCGCTAAACCGTCTCCCTAAGTTTGTCAGGGACCAACAGACAGTGAAGTGAAAGGCATTTCTACAGCTAGCATTTATGTAACACACTTCCAAAAATCACCAACTGTCCTCCCAGCATCCTGTTTCACAGGTTCCTTAGGACTGTATGTATTTGTATACAGCATCCAAATCTTTGCTAAGATGTGAGAGCAGCACTCCATGTGCAAAAGCATTCTCAGCAGCTATTTCATTGCTATACCTATAGAAACGTTCATGGTTTGTACACATAGAAGCTGTATTCTCTTCAAAGCATCATGGAAGCTTCCAGTCCCTTCCTATTACTTTGCAGAGAGACACAGGATCTCTAACACAGTTTTCAGGACCTTGGGTTTGGTCTGTGTCATTCTTTCTAACTATTTTTTTTTAATTTATTTCCAGCAACAAAACACCTAGTGTAACACTGGGGTGCACTGCTTCTAACTCAGGAGGGAAAAGGGACACATAGTGAATCCTCAGCACCATGTTCTGAGGTGTGGTGATCTTTTTTGTCATCTTTTCTTTTTATCTTGGAAGATTTTTTGTGATAAGCCTACTGAAGTTCCATACCCTAGCTCACAAGCTCTGATTCTCACAGCTGGACACAGCAGGGGTGAAAGGCTACAAAAACAAGTTTAGAGGCATTCTACCCACTCCAGTGATGAAGCAGCTGGTAGATTTTTAGTGTCTAGAGCAAAGTCTTTTCTAATTACCTGATCAAAAATACATGGAGCTGAGCTTGCAAAACAGGTCCAACAAAATTTCACAAATCATTAAGGGGACTAGATTTGTAATGATTTGTACAGGTCTTGTAATATCTACAGATAAGATGGGCTGTATAAGTCATCACTGTGTCGTGCTCAGATCTCCAACCTGTACCAAGCCTGGGCCAAACCCAACGCCCAGCATTTAGCCAACCGGTATTTTCAAAACAGGACTGATTTCTGGAAACCAGAAGCAACATCCAGAGCAACTTTCTACAGAAAGAACCATTATTGACTGAAAGCTTAAGAGAGAGAGGATGGTAAAGTACTGAACCGAGACTGAGGAGAGCTGTGGGTTTTTTTAAATCCCAAATGGTTATGCTTCCCTTTAAAGTGGTAGACTTGATTTACAGAGTCAGCAACTGCTGCTATAAACAGGATAAATCTCCCGAGCCTTTGTGTACCCTTTATTGAAGTGAGCCAAAATACACTGATATTTACTCTGTGTCCGTGTGCGTTCTGCATCCAGAAACTGAACAGACGTGGCTCTTATCGGTGAATGCGTGATGCACTTATTACTTCACCTCCCTCACTCCCTTCATAAGACCAACACTAATAGGGGCCTAATTCTATATAGTACTATAAGACAAAACATAATACTATACAATCACCTGCTTCCAGGTATTTATGGCTTTGAATGTGTTACGCAGGAACTGGTATATGGAGGAAGGAATCAAAGACGAAGAAGACAAATGCTAGTATTTAACACCACAGAATCAATATCACTCCCACCCTGGCTATTTTTTGAGTCAGAAAAAGAGGCTTTTCGTAGCAATTTCTCTTAGATGTTGCTAACAGAATCCTTAGTAAGAGAACATTAAATTCAAGTCCTTCCTCTGTTAGCAAATACTGATCAATATAAATTATCTCTCAAATTTTTCTGTTGCAGACATTTAGAGAAGTCTGCATTCACTTATCTGAGAGCCTGAAATGGTCTATGTAAAGATCGAGCAGAAAGGAAAAGGAGCGAAAGCTTCTCGTTTTGCCTCGCTAGAACAATTCAGCTATTCATTTATAAAGCCTCTACCCCACAAAAGGGATGATGCAGAGGGTACAAAAATGCTGAAACTGTCGGGGAGATGGCTAATTCCTCAGCTGTGGCCGTGTTAGGATGGGACATTCCTGTGCGCTCAAGGAACCTGGTAAAACACCACAAGTTGATTCTGGGATACCAGAATAACATTTCTAAACAAAACAAATTACTGATCTATGCTCCACAGCATTTCAGCTAGGCATTGTGGAGGTTCAATCTAAGCCTATTTAGACAGTTGATCCCAGAGTATAACCGATACAGTGCCTCGGGAGTGAAAGCCACCACCTCCCTCGGCCAGCCTGCTGTGTTCACCAACATTTGGAAACTGCAGTTTTTAACTTCGCAGAAGCTTCCAATGTGATGTCAGTTTGAGGTCCTTCTCCTCCCTTCCCCTTCCCAACAACTGCTGGTGAGAAGCTGAAGCACCACTTCTGTTTAAGCGTAGCGGAGAGCCATCCACAGAGCGATCCATCTCTTCCCTGACTGTTTCTTCACTCAACTTCCCCAGTCTTCCTCCTGAGAAATCGCTGGCTGGAATGTCCAACGGTCCTGCTCCAGATCCTAACTCCCACCAACAGAGTCACAGCAACTCTCACCCCAGCCACCACAGAGAAATGCCTTTAAAAAGAAGATCTTTTAGCTTGTGCACTGCTAAAAGTCTACAGACGAGACTACAAAAGCTTGTGCAAGAATCTGGACACACCATTCCTATTAATCAACGTCCAAATCCATCCCTACGAGTCTGAAGCCCTTCAGCCCACATCCTTCGCACGTAACAGAGGGAAAGTATGTTCCTTGTGCACTCAGACTGGATGTTAGGAAACAAATTGCCAGCCCAAAAAATTGTGCACAGCGATTGTGAGGGAGGAGATACGATGAACACCTACTAAGCAGAGGTAACAAGGAGGGAGCAGAAGTGTTTTGCGCTCTCTGCAGAGTTCAACAGTGTATCTGGTTTTATTCAGCACAGCAGAACAAGGACTGAGTTCAAAATGGGTAATACAAATCATAAACCTGGAAAATTTCCATGCAAACAGAATGAAAAATCTTCAAACAAGTCTGTATAGAGACTATGACAAAACAAAAATAAAAATTGTAGAGAAGATGAAGATACTTTTATTTATCCTCTTGTAACAATAGTAAAGGGATAGTTCAGTGAAATGCAAAATACAATCCTAACTGATTAAAGGAATTAAATGCTCTTTTATTCTATGCATCAGGCACCACTGGAACTCATTGCTGCAAGAGACTACATCAACAATTGAGGGGAATTTTTGCCTTGTTTGTTTTTAAATCTTGCTGTTTATACAACTAACAGGAAAATTGAATTTCAGGACAGACAGCATGCTGGGCTGGACTTGTTCCGTAGATAATTAGAAGCTTATTTCCTGGCCTGTCCCTTTCTGATGTATCATGCCAGGCATGTTATTAATGCTTGCTAGGAACTAAGAGGCATGTCTGAGTAATTCCCTATTTTCTTCCAACAACTGAGCAGCTAAGCACATCTTTTCACGAGGGGCAATTTCCGTATAGGTTACATCGCAGAAGCCTACCATTACTTTGAAAAAAGTAAGGCAATTCTCCACTAACAACCTAGCCAATAGAAATGATCACTCAATGTCTGGTTCTGAGACTCATTAAAAATTCCCTTAAGTGCCAGTAAGCAGAGCTTCTGATTGTGAGGTTGTGGAGTCTCCGATTTAGAAAGAGAGCATTTACCTATGACAAAAAGGCTGGCTGCTGAGTAAGGCTCTAACTTAGTAACTCAAAGCCTTGAGTCCAAGTCCTTGCTCCCACCTAGACTGATGGTATGGCCAGCGACAGGTTATTCAGGCCAGGTCCGTGTTAAGACCGTTTTGCTTGGTGAAATGACACCAAAACATCACAGCAGCTGAGCCTGCAGTGGATACTCTTCGCAGAGGCACAACAGGGTTTCTGCCAGGGAATAAATAATACATTTGTTAAAGATTGTACTGGAAAGATGTGTCACATTATATGAGTTACACATACAGTGTCAGCTGCAAGGTTTTGCCCTTCTTCTGTTTACGCTGTTTGTTCCAACCCTGTATTTCATAGAAGAAAAATAAACTCAGCTCCTCTCCCATGCCTCAGAAACATTATGACAGCATCGAGCCATAACCAGCTGTAGGTACCACTAAAACTGGAACGCAGCCCAAGGCAGCTGAGAATTACAGGAGTAGAAGGATGACAGTAGCTGTCCCTCAGAGGACAGCAACAAGGAATCGAAGGCACGTGCTGAGCAGTGGGTCCCTGAAATGGGCGTCTTGGCGCTGTGCTGGTGAGCGTGGGTGTCTCTCATGTCAGTCATCTATATAAATCTCAATACGCTTGGATTGCTTAAAACCAAACTAAACCAAGCCATGCATCTTACCGAACAGCAAGGAGCAATCTGATCTGGCATTCTGAAGTGTGTCTAAACTTCAGTGATTTATGATCTCAGGAAAAGCACTAAATGAAATAGTAGTCTCGGTCTTTCTTTGCCTGGGTATTACTTTGTTTTGGTTTTGCTATTAAGCTAGGCTTTTGAAAAAGTGTTGCTATATGCCCAGGGCCACAGCCTCCCACCATACAAATCGGTTTTGCAAAACAGCCAGTATGCATCAGGAATTAGCAACGAAGAGACCCATTTAGTCCACCACGGGGTGGGGGTAGCGCAGGTTCCTCCACTTCCCCGTATGTATACAGCAGCTGTAAGGGAAGATCCAAACCCAAACACACAATCTCAGCCGATGTGGAATGTGCAGTACTCCCTTCAGACGGCAGCTCAGTGCTGAAACACCTAAAGGCTACAGCCATTTCGTAGTTTGGGAGCCACAAGGACGTGCACACACCAGTATATTGTGTCATTGAGCGCATTTAAGGCAACCCTCAGGCAAAAATGTAAGAAGCCTAAGAACGGCTTCCTGTCAACGACATCCACGGGTCTAGATAAAGCTGTTTGTGCATCTCATGATAAAATGTCCTTACCTTTCTGGGTTACAGCCTGTATGATTTGGCCCTGCCAACCAAAGCCTGTACCTGTAACAGGCCCGTTACTCCCTCTGCGCACTGCATTTTGTCAAAAGGCAACTGATCCGCCATCCACTGCTGTGAGCCCTTTCCTAGATAATCACCACACCCAAAGCACAGCGGAATGTCTCAACAGCTAAACAATAATTTAGCAAAATCTCACTATCAACAGGCCTCTGGAGAATACAAAATGTCCTAAAAATTAGAGGACACAGTTATCACTCTATAAACACAAAGACCCATCATATAAGATGGGTTAATTAATCCAGTCTTTGACAGCTGCGTGTTTGGCTTCTCATTTTGGGAAAGGCTTTCACTGAAACGTGCCAGTTCCAGTGCATATCATGCACCAAAATTTCGAAGCAACGTCTCCGGTAGAAAATAGTCTGTCAGTGAAACCAATGACACTGTGGATCAACAAGGGCAGCCCAGAAAGGAGAGATGCAGGGAAAATTAGAAAGCATAACCAGCAGCATGGCTACAGAGTCTTGTACTCAGAGATCAGGCTTTGGAATGGATTTATCAGAGTGTATGAAATTTTTGGTTACAAAAAAAGTGATGAATAGGTGGCTTGCCCTGCAGTCAGCATTATTCTTTGTAACAGAGTACACGTAATTCACTGAGCATCCTGCTCGAAACGCATTCAAGCATCTGGAAAAAAAAACTGATCAGATCCTACTTCCAACCATGCCTTTGAAGCACCTACAGATGATAGATATGATGGGCAATGGTAATTTCCAGAACAAGTTCCTGGATGAGACATCTCAGAGGAAAAAAAAAAACAACAAAACAAACCAATGCCCAAAAAAGCATTTAATCTCTGGACTCTTAAACCTGCAATTGCCACTCTGCACATCTCATCAGCCAGTTTTGACCACGGGAACTACAACAGCCAGTCTTCTGAGATTGCGTGCCCCAAATGGCTCACTGTCTCACAGGAGGAGGATTTAGCCAAACTTATTTCTCGGTCCCATTTCTTCCTTTCCCAGCCTGCCTCTCATTTACTTCAGTGGGAAATCTGCCTGTTCCCAGTGGAGAAAGCAAAAGATCTCCTTTCTTGAATAACTCTGTGAGATAATTCTGAAGGCATGAGTTATCCCACATGTATTTAATGCCTGAGTGGCAAAAACTTCCCTTCAAATTATTATTTTGGTGCGGGGAAGATCCCTTCAACGGATGTTGCAAGGAGATCCCACCCCCCAAAGACAGGAACCTTAGTCCTCTTTGCTCCACTAAGATGCTAGCTCAAGTAATTTCAATTAAAATTGCCAATGACAGCGCTCAGTGCTGCAAGCTTTAACTTTTTTATATCAAACCTCTCTTTCAAGATACCATTTCTGCCGCAGCAGACAACATGGTGCCTGTTTCAGCTAGGGAGGTAGGAGCTGGGATGACTAAGCTGTCTCTGGTAACAAGCTCTTAGTTTTGCAGGCTTTGAAATAAACTGCTTGGACAACGGGAATATTCGTGGCTGCAGCCTGATAAGAGCAAACATTCAACCATGTGTATGCCAAATAGCCTTCTGCGGGGGAAGGAGTAAAACAGGCAAGCATATGTAAGTTATATGCTGAAATAAACATCATGATAATTTTTGAGTTGAGGGAACACCATCATTCATTCCTCCCCCAAGCTCCCAAATTAATCACAGAAAGCAAAGGAAAAAAAAAACAACTTGTATGAATAATGACACAAAACTATTCAATAGCTGGAGAAGCGTTCAGCAGAAAAACAACAGCCACACGGGACTGGGCTCCAGAAACCCACTCACTCTGTGATCTTAGCAAACAGCAAGACCACGCTTTACTTACCTCAGCATGGGGAAAAGGAGGTTCTGGAAGATAAACCTTTGTTTGTTTGTTATGACACAACCTTTAAAAGAAAAGGAAAACAAGCCGGGTTAGAGAGGTGCAGAACATCCTGCAGTATCTGCTGCCATCTACCGTTCAGCTTTTTCTGGAGAAAGCCATTTCGTATCTGTGGCATCAGGTGCAAAATCACCAATTTGTTTTGTTACTTCCAGTCTTCCTGTTTAGAGGACCAACACCCACAGGACACAACAACTCAATCATAGCGAGATCACTTAGAGGAGGCGCAAGACAGCTGAAAGTGATTTTGCACGCACCCTGCAACCGAACTCCTTTGCTGTTGAAGACAAATTTGTACCCGAGACCACGTCGTTTCATAGCCCAGACCTCAGCAGTTTTTGCAAAGCCAAATCACCTGTCAAGAGAAAAATTCCGATTGCCTCATCCCACTTCTCAGCAATGACTTGGTCCTTTTGTTCGCTATAATCTAATTCCCCTACGCATTTTATTATCGCAGCTACAATGTTGGTAAACTGCCTCTCACCGTGCCATAACTCTCGCTGTTACCTGCTATTTTACATCGGTCATTTATTTTTAAAACATAAGATACTGAAAGTGGTCGATTAGCTCCAGCCAGACTCCTGATTCATCCTATTACAGAAGTTAAAAAAAGGTATTTGTCAGAAGTCCGTGTGACATTACAATTATCTGTAGTGACACTGTCCTGCTGGCTTTTTCTGGGAAACATTACCTGCCTCATACTTTCTTCGCTTTACTAAAAAGCAATAAGCCTGGGTCAAACTAAATTTGATAAAGTCTAAGAGATACTAAAAGCGGGACATTTCTTTTAGCTGACTAAATAGTAGAACTGGAAGGCTGGAATCCCTGAACTTCAACCCCAGTTCTGACCCCAAACCTCAATTTTACAGATGTTCAGCCCCTGCCTCCATTTCCCTGTAAGTAAAACATCCACCTCACACACAAGTGTTCGGAGATCAGCTAATGTTAATTTTGACTTTTGAAATAAGCCACTACAGCAAAGTAGAACTCAAAAAAATGGTGTCTGAACACTTGGGGGTGTGAACTGTGCCAGTTAGACACAACAGACAAAGCGCCCCAACTGGCACACGCAACGTTCCTGCTACTTTGACAGCATTATTATAACAAGGACCATGCAGCAACCACTTTGGCTGCTACTGAAATGAAATCACCACCTACATACAAACCAAACAATTGTTTCACTATGAACTATATGAGTCAGCGCACCCTGGTGAGCACACCTAAGTTTGGCCAGGACACCACGGTTTGATTTTCCTACTTTTGCTCATAGTAATGTGACTAAAATTCACCAGATTTCAATCCTCTTTACAATTCTCCTGAGGGATCAATTCACGTAGGACTTCCAGGACCTCTCTTTTCTTTCCTGAACTCCAGATTTAAAATATCTGGAGAGAAATAAGGGAAGAAAATGCTAACTTTCTCTACTTAATAATCTAGAGCACATCTCCATTTGTAAGAATTTAGGAACAGTTACAAGTGGTTGTGTTCTCCTTTCCATGGCTCAGAATCACAGAATGGCTGACGTTGGAAGGGACCTCTTGAGATCATCGAGTCCAACCCCTTGGCCAAGCACTGTCAGCTAGAGCAGGTCATCCAGGACTGCGTCTAGTTGGGTTTTGGTGTCTCCACAGATAGAGACTCCACTCACTGCCTCCCTGCGCAACCTGTTCCAGTGTTTGACCACCCTCACAGTAAAAAAAAAGCACGTTTCTTTTGTTCAGGTGGAATTTAATCTGTTTTAATTTGTGCCTCTTGGTCTGCCAGCAGGCCCTACTGAGAAGAGTCTGGCTCCCTCATCCTCATTTCTTCCCATCAGGTATTTCTACACATGGTTGAGATGCCCCTGAGCCTTCTGTTCTCCAGGCTGAAGAGTCTCAGCTCTCTCAGCCTCTCCTCGTCTTTGTGGCCCTGTGCTGGCCTCGCTCCAGTAAGCTCCTGTCCTTCCTGTGCTGGGGAGCCCAGAACTAGACACAGCACTCTCCACGCAGCCTCACCAGGGCCGAGCAGGGAAGGATCCCCTTCCCTGACCTGCTGCCAGTGCTCTGCCTAACGCAGCCCAGGATACCGTTGGCCTTTCTTTGCCACGAAAATACATTGCTGGCTCAGCAAAATTAAACCTGAAAAATCTATTTTGCTTATACAGGGAGACTATAGTATAGTTTGGGGGGCACCGGAGAGGATGGGCAAAGAGGCACAGCTAAAATTCACTCAAGTCAGGTACATCATTTAATCACCAGTACAAGTACCAAAAAGGCCAGATTATTTGTGTGTTCGATGGGAAACGATGCTTCCCTAATTACAGAACATCTACTTACACACGCACGTGCACCCTTGTGACTCAAGAGACGTGCTCACAATTCTAATCAAGTATATATTAGAAGATGTCAAGCAGAGCTAACCTGCATGTATCTATTTACCACAGCTGAGCGTGTGAATTGAGGCTGCTGAAGCAGCCCTTTAACACCTACCATTCGGCAAAGATCTGGGAGAACTCCAGGGAGCTGTTGGCAACAGGTGAGATGAAATAAAAAGGGACATTGGAGAGTCCGGCAGAGTCGATGTACTGATATAGGCACTCCAGCAGGTCGTATATTACTCCAGAGGGGTAACAGGGAACCAGCACATTTCCTCCATTCCGGACAGTCATAGCTAAGGGAGGGAGAAAGTCAAAATCAATGAACAGGGTTCACACATAAACTTTTTAATAGAATTCCTTTACTCCAAATACTACGGAAGGTATAGAAAGAAGCTATTGCATGAATTAGCAGAACACATTATGCATACAAATTGGGAGAAACATTTCTGATCATTACATGCTTTTATTTACTGCCTTCTCCTGGCTTAGCAGAGCGGACGATTATACTCCATCAGCACAACTCCTGACACGAGAGGGCGGACTTGCACTGGCATACGAGGATAAACGAGTGACAGAAACCACCTTACCATCAAAATAAACCCTGCTCCCTCTATTAGCTGTCCAGCAGAGGGGAAGGACAACAGTTCACAGGTCCCAGCTGAAAGTGCTACAGATGGTAAACTGTTCTGTACTCAGTTTTCAGTGCTCTAGACGAATGGCCGAAGTTGTGGTTATTCCAAACAGCCCTCGAAGCTAGAAGGTGGTGGTGGTGGGGGGGTATTTCTCCTCCTTAAAAACTCTAAATATTTCCGTCTTTTCAATATAACAAGAACACTTTAAAACCTCTATGAACTGTAGATAGCATGGGACCAGAGAAAAAATGAGGAAAAGAAAAAAGAAAAATAGGTTTGCTCTGTAATTGAGACAGATCTGAGTACAACAGCAAAAACAAGTACAGAGCAAACGTTTTGTTCTTCTGGGAGAATGCATCACAAAAATGCTGTACCTTATGGGAAAGTGGAAATACTTTGTCCAGCTCAGTGAGCAACTGCTGCCTCACTAGGATTTCATCTGTGGTCGTGGGGTAAAACCATCTACTAATTGCAGCGCAGCAGCAGTAACATTAGGCACTAAGGCATTACACAAAAAGCTGTGAAAGAGCCTGAAAATACATATATTACACCCCGCCATAATCGCTTCCTTGACTTCAATTTATCGACAAGCTTTGATGGGGTACGGATTTAGCACATTCAGGGTCTTTTTGCCCCACCTACATGCCCAAGGAAGATTTTTATGGCTGAATGTTTAAAAGTTTTACGGAGTCTAGGGAAATGCACAGCCTCTGTAGTAGGGTTTTTCACATTGAAGAGCATTCTCCTGCACTGAAGGGGCAGGAGGAAGAGCTTTCCTCTAATGATGGGCTGGTTAAAGAACTTGTCCGGGCCATGAAAAATGTGGGTTTCACTCCTAAGCCTTAAAGTCCGAATTCACAGCTCTCCCTTCCCTACAGCCACTGGTTTGCTATGGGAATCTCAAGCCTCTTCTGTTCAAAGCAACCAGAAGTTTAAGATTCCGGGGGCCACAGAGAAAATAACGGAGGGTACGGTCTGGGAGCAGACACCAACGTGAGTTTCTGTCCCCAGGAAAACGACAGAGCTGCTTATCAGTAATTAATATCAACTCACAGCCCAGGGAGTGGAGCCCTCCTCCAGCCAGGTGCCCTATCCACTACGCCATGGACCCAGGGTGGCCGGCCCTTTGTACCTCCTGGTGGCCCAGTGTGTCACACACTTTTGAAACTGGCCTGGTGAACGCTCCTAGTCCCCAGGACGCGAAAGGACAGCAACGTGGCTATCCCACCTCTGACAAGGTGACGATTTTTTGGTTTAGAATGCACTACTCAGTTCCTCAGTGCGAGTTTATTTGTAGGCGCTGCGGTCAGCACAGCTGGGCACGACTTCTTGAGGGCGCCTTAAGCGGTTCCATAAAGGGACAAGAATTACCTCGCAGCTTCTGCAAAACAGGGACGAACCCCTTTGCAAGCTCCTTGCTTTCCACGGTCCAATCTGGCTCTCTGCACCACCACAGCAACTTTCTATAGTTGTCAGTAAGAGGACACGTATATTTGAAAGCTGTTTAAAGCCCAATTTATCTCTGTGACTGATGGATGCGCTCTCTTGATAAAAGTTGTATAATAATCTTGGCATTTCAAATTTAGTCTCCTTCAGTAGCTCCATAACAAGTCGTTCAATTTACAACTCACAATGAGATACTTGCTTTTCGAACAGCTGCCACCACAAGGTCAAGTTGGCACCTAAAAAGCAAACTGTGCTTTTTTTCTGCTTTACATAAACACACACACACACACACACAGAGGCACGACGGCACACGCCACACAAAATATCACAAACTGTCCCTACAGACAGTCTGGCAATTTTCCTGATGATGCCCAAGGCAATGTAAAAATACAATTGCTTTTCTCGAGCTGCAGAGTGCTGGTGCTGCAGTGCTAAGCACAGAAAAAAGGGGTTTGGGCTAAACCGAGAGGAACTTGGAGACGTGACAAAGCATGGTTTCAGTGCTGCACGCACAATGCGGAGAGGAAATCATGCATGTGACTTGGTAATAATGGGAATCAGCATCTACAACTCTACATGCTGGGTTGAAAACAGAGATCAAGGTGAGATTTTCACACTTCCATTTCTGTGCTCCACAACACTTACTCACAAACATGTCATTACTTCACGATACACATCTTTGGTAAATTCCCAGTGTCTGCTTTAGAGTTTTTACTTAGTGTATTCTAAGTTTCTTGTGAAGTCCCCTGAACATTTTGGAAATGGGAAAAACATATGAAAACTACTGTGTTCAGCTACTCTATTGCTTTTCCCAGTAGCCAATTGCTTTTTGGACTTTTTTACACATGTGAAAGAAAACTGATTCACTGTTTTCTTCTCCTGATGTAGGGGTAGGTGTATAAACACTGCTGGTGCCATGTAAAAGACCGCTCTACCACTGCATCAGTCATAGAATTATTTAATTTCTTCAGGTCGCTGTGGGTTTTGGCAAATAAGACTCAAATTCCCCATTCCTACAATGACATTATTTTAAGCATATATCATCCTTTGGTCTTTTAACAATTTTCTAATTTCCTCGAGTTTGTCTCATTCAAGGCAGAAGCTGGCTTGAAGATCTTCAGCAAAACCCTCAAAATAGTTCAGAATGTTTCTGTAAACCAGAACAACTTGTGCTGACAAACACCCACCTGTACCTACATACGTAACACATTTATCTAGATGCATTCATCTTTCGGATTTTGCTTTGGCCCAAGCTACCTCTCTAAGACTTTGTTTGATTTTTAAAAGCATTTTCATTAACGCTGGTCTCACTCCTGTTCACTCAGCATACAGCTGTTGCAGTTCGAGACACGAGCGACCACCAAGGTCCTCGCCAGAGCACGTTTACAGCAGAGGTGGCAGCAGGGCAACCACTCCTCGGCCTCTCCAGTACAAAGCCTAACATCTCAGCTCAGACTGGCTGCCTTGGTGGTTTGAGGTAAGATGATAGGACGTGATCATGCTACTGTCTGTCAGGGGGACAGTAACCCCCAGAAAAGTCCAGAGGGGACAGAGAAGGGCAGCACATCTGGATCCAGCACAGCAAGGTCACCAAAGCTTATCTGCGACAGCTCATGGGGTTACAGAATTAACAATGCTTGAGAACAATGAAAACTCAGACTGTAATAACACACACACACGTACACACACACACACACACATCACTTCGGAAAGGAAGTCCCAGGTGTAAGAATTAACACAGCTTCAAGGGGAGGTCGAACAAGTTCCTGGAAGAGAAATCCACTGAACATTACGAACTACACAAAAGCCACATTGGATTCAGGAAATTCCTGAAATAAAAATACTTGAAGGCTATGAGATTACAAGGTGAAAGTATTATATAGTCTCGTCCTGTTCTTCTACTCTTCCCTAGACATCTGCTCGTGATCCCTGCTGGAGCCAGGATGTTAGCAGAGAGGATCTTTGGTATAACCCAAGATTATCGCTCTTATAAAATGCCAAAACATACCCTATTAATAGGTATTTACACTACAAGGAAACATCCCAACCCTGTAACTCGTCTTTTCATATAAACAAAATCCACATAATTTTACCTTGTATATCCCACAGCACGACCTACAACTCCTGTTTGAACTGAAACTTGCCCTAAACAAGTGATTTTGATTTAGAGATGGTGGTTGATGGAGGAATCTGCCACAGCCCTCGATTACTTGCCTTCCACTACCGTGGCAGTCTCATACTGGGACTATGAGACTGTACACAGATATTCAGCATCTGTCGATATATACAAGGATATTAAAATGGGAAAAAACCCCAAAGTATTGTGGGTTTTTTTCTTCCTCAAGGGTACATTCACATGTAAAAAGGAAGACTTAAGACTTGCTTGCACTTCAGTTCTGTTCTCAGCCTTATCCTGCAACCTTGGGTAAGCCACCTAAATACTACAGCTCAGATTTCTCCCAGGTGTGTAATGGGGACCAGAACACTTGCTTACAAGTGTGAAGACATTAGATTTAGACTTCTAATGTCTTCTGATAACCTTTGTAACAACCCTCCTATCACAGGCTTTTTAGTCTTATTTGTAAAAAGTAGGCAGTTTAAAGTAAAGGGAAGATCTCTGATAAAAGAACAGGCAATACACAGCAGGACAGACACCAGAAAGGGCTTTGACGACAGAAGGGTGAGAGCACAGAGGAACTGAGGTGGGGGAAGGGGAGAAAAGGAGAGAAAAGCACTGGATGTGACATTCCAAACAGGCTGGAAAATGCTGCCATTCACACTGATATCACAGCTTTGCAATTATCAGCTTTTCCAGCTGTGAAAGCGTCTGATTAGGTTTTATATTTCTGGGGTCTATAAATATATCGTGATATATTTTTTTAAACAAGAGACTGTGCTGTTTGCTTTTGATATATTTAAAAATCAGGTGTAAGAAGGGAAGCAGATGTGCTTGTTTTCAAAACTGAAAGTCATAAAAAGGCATGTAAAGATTTTACACCGCTAATATACAGGAAGGAAATAGTAATATTTCAGCTGGGAACAATATCCAAAACCTAGGCAACACGTAGTCTGTTGGCAGCTAAGCGACACACTTAGCAAACCAAGAGCAGCAGATGATTAAATCTCATTATACCTGTTCCATTCCAAAACATTTTAGGTACAACTTGTGTCTCTCCAAGCACTTACTGCATTAATGACATCAGCAGCACATCGTAAAATCTAAACAGCTAGTTTTATGCCAGGACATATAGCTGGACAACTAATTCAATTCCAGGAATTTCAGAATTATTTCCCACCCAAAGCAATGAATAAGATGATAAAATAGGCAAAAGACTTCTTTCAACGACCTACCCAAGTTGCTGCAGAACTCTCCTACCATGCCATCTGGGTTAGCAGTAGGGATTTGTGTCAGACCCGTCAGGATAAGCACGTCACTATTTTTAAGAGAAGCCTGGTCCATGGGCTGAAACAGAGCACAGTGAAATAAAAGGAGTAACATGAGAGTTGTAGCACAGGTTTCTCTGCTCTGTCCCAAGAAGGCTGCAACACATAATGGACACAGTGATCAAGGAGAACACACGGAACAGTTTATAAACTTCACGTTCCTCCTTCTGTGGAAACATAACTGGAGTTACTAAAACCACATACAAGTGTTTACCTGCGTACTACAAAACAAACAACGGAACTGTGACCGGATCCAACTCCAAGCAGTCTCCACAGACTGATCACTTCATGGCCTCGGGAGCTGAACAGGGAAAAGGCAGCGATTTGCCGAGGATGGGGCAGGACGGGCAGGAACGGTTTGACACTCGCGTTCCCACCCCTGGCTGCGCCAGTTTCCAACATGCTTCCCTTTGCAAATCAAGGTGTCAGCTTTAACCCGTGTCTGGGGGGGGGGCGGGCGGGATTCTCTTTGGAAGAGGTGAGATCAGCAAAGGGCTTTGGGCTTGAAGCTCTCTGTTCTGTGTACGACTCTGAATGCCCCACCAGACTCTCCCTCGACTGTGAAGTCTGCTCTTCTGCCTGCAGTATTACAACCGTGACTTTCACATACTCATTTCAGATTGTTTGCACAAGCCTTTTTGGAACTCTGGTTTTGTGAAATGGTAAATGGCTGCTACTGGTAGAAAAGATAAATTGGTTTAGATTCCTTAATATTGATAAATTTTGTTTATTCAGCTAAGAAATAATCACACATGATAATTTTATAAATGTAGCTATAATCTCAGCCCAAACAGATAAGCATTTCCTTAAAAGCCAGTAGCTGAAAAGAGGTGAAAAAATCATAGTTTCAACTGCACACACAAAAAAAAACCCCAACAGACAAAAAAGTAGTGCTCCCAATGCAACACCAGAGCTAAAATAATAGAGAAAACATAACTTGCCTTACCAGTCCCCTAGCGGATCAGATCAGCACCATGCCCTCCTCCAGTACCTTTCCTTGAAGGCTGTGCTAGAGGCTAAGCCATGCCAAAGTGAAATAGATGTCTTCACAGGGCTACGACCTCTGATCCGCTGGGTCTGCAGGGCATGTTGTACCGACGACCTACAGGCAGAGGTCTAACCCTAGGTGATGTGGTTACAGTGCTGAGGGCAGCTATCACAAGGGTCTCTCCAGGCCACGTCTGCTTCCTGGGGGACAGAAGAGTTTCTATCTGCCCAGTCTACCCTGTGGCTCACAGATGTAGCAGAGGGACTGACGAATAAATGGTCCAAGGTAATCACAGCGTGGCAACTCGGCCACGGGCAGGCACTCAAATGTTAAAGCAAACGTTGCTTCTGCCTCGACTGTGGATAGAGGCTCACACTTTTTTTGCACTGGGGTCAATCATTTGACATGTTTTATATGGCACTTTATTAAAGCAGAATGGAAATGCATACCCACTTCTCTTCATTAGCAAACATAGAGTAGATATTCAGAAATTATACTGAAGTGTGACCTGATGCTAAATATATATTCTTGATACTCAAAATTTAGCATAATTCAGTCTTGAAAAGGCAAAATCCACTTCTCTCTCTGCAGACGCAGCACAGCTACAGTGAAAAGTTAACTTTTAGCCTTGCTCTGGGCTGGGATGCACTTCCCACAGCTACCATTCAAGCCAAGGTGGGCAAGTACAGCCAGCTGTGTGGTGTTTCATGGTTGGTTGTTCTCAAGAGACCCTCTTCAATCTCACCAACCAGGAAAGACTTCTACCAGAAGCGACTGATGAAGACATTTCCTCTACTGAACTTAGAAGATCACTCTCAGATAATCCCCTTGCTCACAGTCCCTCAGTGTCATTCTTAAGTAGCTGAGAAAGACCTCGCTCTGTTAAACACGTAGGGGAATTTCATATCAACTTCAACCAAAGTTTAAGCTGTGCACCACCTTGTAGGACCAGACCTGCTACGTGAGATTTATTGCAGTCTTTGACTCTCCGTAGTGCGTCTGTGAAAATGAAATGCCAATAATGCAATAAAAAATCATATCGAATCTGCCTGTGATAATGTACATAATGATTATGCCATATTAGATACGCATAATTTCAGCTGCTACTGCACTGAGAGGGCTTGCATCGATTTTTGTGGGTTAATGTAAAGAATATGTCTTAAAAGGCTTTTAGTGACATGCCTGAACCTGTGCTGTCAACTCCTGTTCTCTACTTCAGTGGCAACGGTGTCAGTTCTAGCCTCAGTAGAGGGCAAGGCAAAAATTTTCAATAGAAACGATCTGCCTGAAGACAGAAGTAAAGGGAACAATTAATTGTGCCAGAGCAAACTCTAAAACAAATCCTTTAAAGCTCCAGTTATTTTCAGCTCTGCTGTGAATACAGTCTTGCTGAACCCTTCACTTGCACTTCCTACAGATCCACTGAGGATTTCACAAGATATTCCTGC